TGTGAGGACTAAGGGGACTCTATCCTTATTGTTGTTGGGGGGAGTGGCTTTGAGGGCAGAAGTGTGGGATATGGAGGAGATGCGGTTGAGGGCATTGTTGTGTTCCTTGTTTGAGTGTAGCAGGTCTTTCTGAACATCTACATTTCATAACTGTTAAGAAAAACAACGCGATTTTTAAAATTTAGAATCATGAAATCATGAAGGACAGAAGAGGCTCTTTTACTATTAAAGTGAATAACCTCATCTACATTGTACTCCATCTAAAGATTTTTCATTCATGGAATCATAGAGTCATACAGCATGTAAACAGAACACTTTGGTCCAACTTATCCACGCTGATGAGACATCCCAATCTGGTCTAGTCCCATTTGCCAGTATTTGGCCCATATCCCTGTAAACCCGAGACAACAAGAAAAGTTTTCTGATGAAGGGTCTAGGCCCGAAACGTCAGCCTCTCTGCTCCTATGATGCTGCTTGGCCTGCAGTGTTCATCCAGCCCTGCACCTTGTTATATCAATATTCAATATGCTTTCTCTATGTCTTACCTTGGTAATGGTTGCATTGTCTGGGATATAACGTATTGCATCAATGTACAGATCAAAAGGCTCATTTACCATTGTTGGATGTGGTAATGCAATAGCTGGATTATGGGCAACCCATGGCCGAGAAAGAAAGTATTCATCAGATGACAAAACTCTGGCAACATCAAAGCAGACAGGTTCAGAGAAATATGCATTATAAAATTGTTCTTACAAAGAGACAGAGAGACAAACAAAGAAAAAAAGAACCAAAAGAACTGCAGATGCTGTAAATCAAGAGCAAAAACAAAATTGCTGGAAAAGCTCAGCAGGTCTGGCAGCATCTGTGAAGGAGAAAATAGAGTTAACGTTTCAGGTCCAGAGGAAGTTTCAGAACTGAGGAAGGGTCACCGGACCCGAAAGGTTAACTCTGTTTTCTCCTTCACAGATGCTGCCAGACCTGCTGAGCTTTTCCAGCAACTTTGTTTTTGTTCAAAGCAAAGAAGACCTTTGCTACCCAATTTCCTCTTGTCTTCATTGCTGGTACAGCAATTTGGGACATTGCGAGGTCATGAAATAGGCCATATAAATGCATGTTCCATCTTTCTACAACTTAAGCAAGTTTGATTGGAGTGGTATAGTTCGTATCCCCATACTCAGTTACTTCATGGTCAGCTAGCAACACGTGCAAATAGGTTAGTATGAAACAGAAGATTTGCAATCCTTCCTCCTTTCTCTCAACCCTCATGATGGTATGACTTCTTTCCAAATTGTTCTCACCTGACATTTATAAATAGCCTCCAGTACGTGTTGCCTGGATTGCAAATATAAATAGGAGTATTAGATCATTTTGTCTTGCTTAATTCAAGGACATCTGTTTCCTGAAGCACCCTTATCATCACAAATAAAGACCATAAGATGCAAGAGCAGAATTAGGCCACTCAGCTCATCAAATCTGCTCTACCATTCAATGAGATAATGGCTTTCCTATCTTGTCCTACACACTTGATTCCTTTACTGATAAAAGAAACCTATCTCACTCTTAAATACACTTAAGCACCCAGCCTCAACAATCCTCTGCAGTAAAGAATTCCACAGATTCATCAACCTCGGGGAGAAGAAATTCCTTCTCATCCCTGTCTTAAATGTGAGGCCCCTTATTCTGAGATTTTACCCTCTGGTCCTAGACTGTCCCATAAGGGAAGCAAACTGTTTGCATCTACCCTTCCAAGTCCCCTAAGAATCTTGTACGTTTCAATAAGGTCACCTTCTAAATTCCAGCGAGTAGGCCCAAACTACTCTCAATTTCTCCTCATAAAACTGTCCCTCCATACCTGGTATCAGTTAACTCAGTACAGTCTGGGCTTCAAACAGTGCCTTTCTAGTCTATATGGTTCGACAACTCACAACAAGCTGAGTTATCAAATGAGTCACACAGGCAGATATGTGTGAAGATCAGACTCTCTCCTACTCCCACCCTCTGATAAGAAGCTTTATTTCTAGTGATGGAAATGAAGTTGCACCATTTAATCAAAGAGCAAACAGCAGTTGGAAAAGGCATGCTCAGCCATCAAGGGGGAGGTGTTGGTAAAGTAACTGGACTAGCAATCCAGAGTTCCAAGCTAATACCCTGGGAGCATAGGTTCAAATCACGCAATGGCAGATGCTGAATTTTGAATTGAATAAAAATATGGAATAAAATGCTTGCCTAATGGTAACCATGTAATCACTGTTGGATTATGAACCATCTGTTCACTGATGGCCACTAGGGAAGGAAATCTGCCTTCCTTCCTGGTCAACATGTGACTCCTGACTCAGAGATGTGGTTGACTCTTAACTGCTCTCTGGACAATTAGAGACAGCCAGTAAATGCAGGGTTGTCAGCAAATCCCGCATCCCATGAATGATTAAATTTTTAAAAAAAGTTGTGGATCCAAAATCAGACAAGGCCCTTGAGGAATGTAAAGGAAGCAGGAGAGATTTTAAACAAGGAGTTAGGAGGGCTAAAAGGGGCCATGAAATGTCCTTCGTAAACAGGGTTAAGAGGAATCCCAAGGCACTTTAAATATATATTAGGAGTAACAGGGTAGCTAGGGAAAGGGCAAGACAACTCAAGGACAAAGGACAGAACTTATGAGTGGAGCCAGAGAGAGGGGTGAGGTCCTTAATGAGTCCTTCACATCAGTATTCACTAAGGAAAAGGAAATGGATGATAGTAAGATTAGGGAGAGGTAGGTTGATTTTCTAGGGTATGTTGAGATTGAAAAGATGGTGGTACTGGGTGTCTGCAAAAACATTAAGGTAAATAAGTCCCCAGGGCTTGCTGCAATCCAACCCAGAACACTGAGGGAGGCAAGAGAAGAACAAAATTGCTGAAGAAACTCAACAGGTATGGCAGCATCTGTGGGAAGAAAGCAGAATTAATGTTTTGAGTTCAGTGACTCTGTATAAGCAAGGGAGGCGATTGCTGAGGCCTTGATAGAAACTTCTGTATTCTCTTTAGTCAAAATGAGATCCTAGAAGACTGGAGAATAGCCAATGTTGTTCCTTTGTTTAAGAAGGGTAACAGGGATAATCCAGAAAATGACAGACTAGTGAGCCCTATATTAGTGGTAGGGAAATTATTGGAAAAGATTCTTATGGAAAGGATTTACTCACATTTGGAAGAGAATAGACTTATTAGGGATAGCCAAGCATAGCTTTGTGTGGGAGAGTTCTTGTCTCACAAACTTGATTGATTTAATAAGGAAGCGGAGAAGATGATTTATGAGGATAGGGCAGTGGTTATAGTCTACATGAGCTTTACTAAAACATTTGACAAGGTCCCTCATGCTAGGCTGGTCCAGAAGTTTAAGTCATTTGAGATCCACAGTGAATTGGGAAGTTCGATACAAATTTGGTTATAGAAGACAGAGGGTAGTTGTGGAGGTGTGTTTTTCCGACTGGAGGTCCATTACCAGTGGTGTTCTGCAAGGATCAATGTGGGACCTTTGTTGATTGGAGTACGTATGTATGACTTGGGTGAAAATGTAGGTGGTCTGATTAGTAAGTTTGCAGATGTCAAGAAAATTGGTGGAGTTGAGGATAGTGAGGAAGGTTGTCAAATATTACAGCAGGCTATAGATCAGTTGGAATGGTGAGTGGAGAAATAGTAGATAGAGTTTAATCTAGCAAGTGTGAGGTGATGCATTTTTGGAGGTCAAGTGCAAGAGGAAAGTATACAGTGAATGGCAGGACTCTTGATATACAGAGGGATCTTGGGGTGTAAGTCCATAGCTCCCTGAACGTGACAACAGAACTTGACATAAGGTGTAAAAAAGATGCTTGCCTTCATTGGTTGGGGCACAGAGTATAAAATTTGCCAGGTCATGTTAGTTAGGCCACATTTGGCGCAGTGTGTGCAGTTCTGTTCACCACACTATAGGATGGATATGGAGGCTTTGGAAAGGGTGAAAAAGAGGTGTACCAGAATGATGCCTGGATTTTGGAATGTATTAACTATAAGAAGAGGTTGAATAAACTTGGATTGTTTTCACTAGACCATTGGAAACTGAGGAGTGACCTGATAGAAGTATATCATGTTATGAGAGGCGTGGATAGGATGGATAGTTGGAGTCTTTTATCCACGGTGAAAATGTCAAAGACTACAGGGATGGGTTTAAGGGACGAGGGGGAAAGTTCAAAGGAAATGTGTGAGGCAAGTGTTTTTTTTACACAGAGTGGTAGGTGCCTGGAATGCGCTGCCAGGGGAGGTGGTATAGCACGTACAATAGCAATGTTTAAGAGGGATTCAGACAAACACATGAATAGGGAGGGAATAGAGGGATAGGTACCATTTGCAGGCAGAAGGGATTAGTTTAGGATGGCATCATGGTCGAAGGAGACATAGTGGCCGTGGGATCTGTTCTTGTGCTGTACTATTCTATATTCTGTGTTCTAAAACTATTTGCAATGTTATTATTGCAAAACACTTTGAAAGATATCAAAATATAATTCGACTTTATGATGCTTGAAGTTAGAAATTAGGTGGAATTTAAAGCATGGTACTCCATTCCTGATGGCAGATCTACAAATAGGCAGCTCTTTTACTTTCATTGCAGGAGCCAGGACCATGTACAAATTTAGAGGATCGGCAGCAGGCAGATGAAGCATGTACAATTACATGACGAGTTTCCATTGAAGAATCTTGACCAAGATCTTTGCATCCTCATTTGCCACTGGAGAGATCCTGGAGAACTGGCAAGTAGTTAATGTTGTTCTTCTTTTCAATAAATCCAAGAAACCATAGACCGGTGAGTATCACATTGGTGGTTGGGAAGTTATTGGACAGAATTCTTAGGGATAGGATTTATGTGCATTTGGAAAAGCATGGCCTAATTAGGGACAGTCAGCATTGCTTTGTGCAGGGCAGGTCATGTCTTACTAACTTGATTGAATTTTGAGGCGGTGACGAAGGTGATCATTGAGGGTACAGTAGTGTATGTTGTCTACGTGGATTTTAGTAAGGCTTTCAACAAAGTCTCTCACTGTAGGCTCATCCAGAAGATTAAGGTGCATGGGATCCATAGTGACTTGGCTGTGTGGATTCAGAATTGGCTTTCCCATAGTAGGCAGAGGGTAGTGGTGGAAAGTTGTTTTTCAGGATGGGGGTCCGTGACTAGTGGTGTTCCGCAGGGATCTGTACTGGAACGTCTGCTATTTGTGATTTATATATATATATAAAAATGACTTGGATGAAAATGTAGATGGTGGAGTTGTGGATAGTGTACAGGGTTGTCAAAGGATACAGCAGGATATAGATCAGTTGCAGATATGGGTGGAGAAATGACAGATGGAGTTTAAACTGTGTAAGTGTGAGGTGCTGCACTTTGGGAGATCAAACGTTAAGGAAAAGTATACAGTTAATGGCAGGACCCTGAACAACATTGATGTACAGAGGGATCTTGAGATTCAAAATCCATAGCTCCCCGAAAGTGGCTACACAAATAAATAGGGTGGTCAAGAAGGCATATGGCATGCTTGCCTTTATTGGTCAGGGAATTGAGTGCAATAATCAGAATGTCAAATTGCAGCTTTAGAAGACTTCGGTTAGGCCACACTTAGAGTACCGCATTTAATTGTGGTTGCCACATTACAGGAAGGATGTGGAGGCCTTGGAGAGGGTGCAGAAGAGGTTTACCAGGATGCTGCCTGGATTAATGGGTATGAACTTTAAGGAGAGGCTAGAAAAATTCGGGTTGTTTTCTCTGGAATAGCGGAGGCTGAGGGGAGACTTGATAGAAGTCTATAAAATGATGAAATGCATTGATAGGGTTGATGGTCAGAATCTTTTTCCCAGAGTTGAAATGTCTTGAAACTAGGAGGCATGCATTTAAGGTGCAAGGGGGAAAGTTCAAAGGAGATGTGACGGGCAAGTCTTTTACACAGAGAGTAGTGTGGAACATGCTGCCAGGGTTGGTGATGAAGGCAGATACGACAGGGGCATTTAACAGACTTTTAGATAAGCATGTGAATATGCAAGGAATGAAGGGAGGGCAGGCAGAAGGGATTAGTTTAGTTTGGTGCCATGTTTGGCACAATATTATGGGCTGAAGGGCCTGTTCCTGTGCTTCACAGTTCTATGCTCCATGTTCTAATCCCACCATCAGGTGACAGTACAGCAGGTTACACAGCTATAAAAAAGCCACCAGGATAAGCATGAAGGCTCAACATCAAAGCTCCAACTTTGAGACATATGACTCACTTTTGCTGTAAATGTTTCCAGAAAACAAAACATTTTTGAACAGAATGACTCCAGGTAACAACTCTGTTGCAATAACACCGGCTAGTGTATAGTAGAGTCATATAGACTAGGACCATCTGAATGCAATCACTGTTCTGTACTGAGTCAGCTGATCTCAGATAAGATGAAGGTAGGGGTGTCAAATTGCCTTCTGAAACCATGGAATAAGGAAGGGAACCAATTCATGCAGAAATCCTGCTCCTGATGACTATCTGTTGACCCTCTCATCCTTGTGAATTTATCACTGAGCACGTGGAGATAGGTCCAAGTTTGACCATGAATAAATATCTGCCAACATACACTGTCCAAGCATGTGAAGCAAGAATCAAGAATGTAATTTGAGCAAGATATCAAGGACTGCCTATGTCTGTATTCCACAATTCTTTAGGAAATCTAACAAAGGAGAAAGAGATGGTGGAGTTGGGTGGGGAGCAATAAACAAAAACAATAATACAATTAGATGTCAACATTGATATTACGAGTCCTAAACCCCAAGCATTTCAAAAGAGGTCAGGGGTGTGGGCATTCAGAGATACAGGTACATTATAATCAGTATTGCAGTACTGATTCTCCTTTCTGTACTCTTGTCAGGCTTATATTCCAGTTGGGAGCACAAAGCCAAATTGCCCTTGGGTCTCACTGCAGAGACTGTCTTCCTATTTCAGAATGCACAGTGGGGAATTGCAGCAGAGAATGCACCCATTAATTGGACTATAAAAATACAAATCTATTTTTCTTCTGTTTATACAGGCAAGACACAACCTGAAGTAGTCCTAGTATTTGAATAGATTCCACCTCCCCCCATAATAGTGCAGGAAAATTAGCATTCACAGCGTAAATAGCATACAAATAACACATCCCTCATTGTACAGGCATACACAGATACACATTTACAAGCATTCAAGCGTGAATGTGAAACTCTTATTTGGGAATATCTTTTAGATTTGCACAAGAAAGATTGGGATCGCTTAGTAAGTTTGTATGTTAGAATCAGTTAAAAAAAATGACAGAAGCATTTCAAAACTAGGCTGAATCCTGTTTATTCAATACAGTATCACCCCAGGTGAGGAAGTATTTATATGAGCCTGCAATGCTAATGAACCACAGGTCTCTGATGTCTAACTGACAGCTATGCTTTTGCACCAGCAAGTAGCAGTGTGAAGCATGAATTCAAGTGAGTGCTTTAAATGACACAATCGTTTAAGCTAGGCAGTGAGCCAAGTTGATAAACAGGTATGAATTTATAGACTGCAGTCATATTTTGCACATTTAACTGCTGAACATTTATAGAGTCATAGAGTTATACAGCACGAAAACAAACCCTTTGGTCCGAATCGCCCCTGCCAACCAGATATCCTAAACTGATCTAGTCCCATTTGCCAGCATTCGGCCCATATCCCTCTAAACCCTTCCTATTAGTGTACCCATCCAGGTGCCTTTTAAATGTTGTAATTGTACCTCCCTCCATCACTTCGTCTGGCAGCTCGTTCCATACATGCACCTCCCTCTGCTTGAAAAAGTTGGCCCTCAGGTCCCTTTTAAATCCTTCCTCTCTCACCTTAAGCCTATGCCCTCAATTCTTGAACTCCCCTACACTGGGAATTTTGTTGTCATACTATCTGGTGAGGGAATAATAAAATGTCAGTAACAGCAGAAGTAATGAAGATGCTGTCTCCAGGTGGGAAACCATCTTACTAATTAAAGTCTAGATAGGGAATTTTGTCACTGCTATTGAATTAGCATATATATATATATATATATATATATATATATATATATATATTTTTATAATGTATGTGATTCTTCAGACATAGAGGAAGTGATTTATTGGAGGCACCATTCTGATGTTCATTAGACCATGCAATTTCCCCAGTCATCCTTCTCTCTCAATGACACATTAAAATATACTGCTGTTTAAGAGCCACTGTTCTGCAGCACACTGCCTGCCGAACACTACAAAAAGGTCCTATCTCGAGCAAAACCCAGGAAATTCTTGATTCTGCATACCAGTGTAGTTTAAAGCCAGGGGTATGAGTTAATGTACCAGGGAGGAATACAGATCTGAATGTATAACAATTGTAAACCCAGCCAGCTGTTTATTATGTTAGCAGATTCGACAAATCCTTCAATTGTTCACAAATACTTTATTTTGGACCCATGATTGAGAGAAAACTCTCTCTTCCAACTCTTTGTTATATTCCCCACAAACGCCACAGGATTTGAAATTTTTTTTTTTTTTTTTTTTTTAAAATAGCTTTATGACTTTCACAATCCAAATCTCAGCTCTACGGTTGTGGGCAGCAAGCAGTATGGCAAGTGGCACTTCCCAAGAAGAAAGAAGGAAAAGAATGACAGGAGAGGACACTGTAGGCTGTTCATGCACAGGTCCACGTGGCAGATCGTAGGGAAGCATCAGCAACCAGCTATTTTCCAACTGAAGTAGAAAGGATGTCCAAAAGCTACATAAAAGAAATGCTTGAAAGATAGAAGTTATGTAATTGGTTCACGTCTAATGTTAATGTTGACTACCCAAAGTTGGTGTTGGTCTAAAATGTAGCTAATATAGGTGAAGTTTAAGTGAAAGAACAAGCAATGTTGGCAAACTACCTCTCCCTGTCTGTTTTCTGGTCATTCTGTCTCTGCTTTTCCAGGATTGGATCGTAAATAGCCAGTGCGATCTCTGATCCCTGCTGGACAAGTTCTGCAAAAATATTGCACAGACAAAATTAAATTCTATCAAATTCTTTCTATTATTGCTGTGTATTAGATTTCCCACATCTCACTTAAATGCTTTCCTTAAATTTTTTTCACAGGTTATGTATGAACTATGAGAGGGTAATCCGTTGCCAGAAAGGATAGAGAATTGGGATGAAGGGAATATTCCCTAATTGACAGGATGTATGAACTGATGTTTCCTATGTAACTGAAAGGAGTCCTTAGCTTTTCAGTTTATACATTAAATGATTGGGATGAAAGGATAGAAAATATTTTCAAATCTTCAGATGACATTGTGTTAGATAGGTTCTTGATTAACAAAGAAGTCAAAGGTCACAGGGGGAGATAGGAAAACAGTGTGATGTCAAAATCAGATTAGCCATGATTTTATTGAGCGGCTGAGCAGGTTCAAAGGGCTGGATTGTCTACTCCTAGCTCATATGCAGAAAGTTACAAACGGACATGAATAGACTAGAAGACTAGGTAAATATATGGCAGATGGAGTTCAATGAGGAAATGTTAGGTAAATCATTTTGAATCTGGCAAAGACTATTCAGAAAGTTTTCTTAATGTGATGGATTAGGGGCTGTAGGGGAGCAAAAACATTTAGGTGTCATTATACACGACTCACTAAAACAAAATGATCAGGTTTAAAATGTAAACGCAAAGGAGAGTTGATCTTTATTTCCAAAGGGATTGGAATTCAAAAGTGGTGAAATTGTGTTTAAGTTGTCTACAGACTTGGTCAGACCTTATCTGAATACTGCGTTCAGTTTTGAACACCAAAATATATATATATTGGGGGGGGGGTTGGCAGTGCTGTTTTGCTGAATGTCAAACATCATCCAATTAGGTAATGAGCCTTTTTGCTTTCTAATCGGCATAGGAAGGCTATGCATGACAGGCCAGATGTGGCTGAGAAATGGGTGGAGTGTGGAGACTATTCATGCGGTGAAACCTATGGGAATAGATTTAATCACAGTTGGCAACCCTGAACCAGGATGGTGTCGGGGTTAAAGGATAACTTGATGGCAGGTTATATATACTAGGTTGGTATTCCCTCAAGATTAGGATTGGTGTTTGTCTAATTGAAGTCTATAAGGGGATTCAATTGGGTAAAGCAATTTCCTTTGCTGGGGAATCTAGTAAAAGGACATAATTTTAAAATTTGAGCCCAGCCATTTATGAGTGAAATTAGAAAGCAGTTTTTCCAGACGAAAAGGTAGTGGGAATTTTAAGATCTCTCTTCAACAGATACAAATGCTGGGGAACAAACACAGCTTAAGACGGAGGTTTCTGGATCACCCACCACCCCCGCACAGTAAATGCAGACTGCAGATCCAGCAATTCCCTTATAGGAGAGGACAGTGTTCAATTCAAACTTCTTTTGCCAGTTAATCTTGACCTCAGCCTGGAACCCAGAGTGGATCCCACTTCCACCCTTCTGGAGGTTCATATGCCGCATCTCAATCAATCTGCTAACCTGCAAATGTGTGCCAGTTTCCAGTGACACCAGAAAGTGGGAACTCCAGCATAAGATTTTGCCTTTCTCAGCCTGGTTTCCCTTAGTCAGTCACCTTGTTTTGGGACAGGTGAATACACAGCCCCCAAGCAAAGTAAAAAGAAACTCCAGTGTGGCTGGGACCTGCTGTTTTCCTGGTCCCAGTGGAATGTGTGCTCTTTTTCCAGACACCTGATGGAATACAGTCACCATCTACCTGAACAGTAAAACAATTTCAACACCATTGTATGTTCATTTGCAATCTCTCAGAAATGCAGACATTTGGAATTTGAAATTTTAGTAAAGTTAAAACCAGGAAGTGCCATTTAAAAGGATTAGTTTCTCTCGATCATCAAACACTTTAACTGACTAAGGGACTTACCAGTGTAGCTGCAAGGTGGATCTCCTTCAGCAACATTGTCAGGGGGCTTCCCAGGATGCAATACAGTGACCAAACACTGTGGATTGGATGCCCACACCAATCTAGTAGCTTTGGTTTCCTGGTAAAATGTGTGTAACTTAACCCAGCCCATGGTCACTCCTCCAAAGTCTAAAGAATATAATTTTTCATGTGAATATCTTAATCCGTGAAAAAGACACATGCCCAAAAAATGAAATCTCAAAATGAAAATCAGAGCGGTCTTTACATCAGCTCAATGCAATTTGATGCTTCCAATGGAATTATGAAAAAAGTCAAAACACTTCATGGCACCGTTTGAAGCACAGACACATGATGTATTCTTTTAAATCTGGCTGAGTTAATGAATATGAACTTCTATAATTCTACAAATGCAAAACCTTAAATTAAATCTTGAGCAAGCAAAGATCGTTTAAAACTCAAAAAGGTGATTCTATTTGTTGTATCATTCTGTGATTGTATTTTATCCATACCTTAAAATGCTGTGACAGTATATTGAAGGTATTTACCTCAAAGCATCACACTTGTAGGTTTAATTGCACAAAACAAATTGTTGGGAATTATATCAATAAAGAAAGAAGAATTTGCATTTTTGTAGTATCTTTGACAACTTCAAGAAATCCCAAAGCACTTAATAGCCAAGGGTGCACTTTTGAAGTGTAGTCACTGCTGTAATGGAAGCACATTGGAAAGCAGTACAGTGCCAGACTATAGAGATTATGCTAAATCTTTACACTGCACTAGCCAACTGTACCTAGAATATTTTGCTGGGTCCCATTTGGTATAATCTTTGGGACATAGCGCCTATATACCTATTATCACACCAGCACTGACATTTGCATACCACATTATTCATTTGTGATAGGGAGAATATCTTCATAGCTTGACAATAGCATCCTGTTACTGGCAAAACTACATATTGCTACTACAAAGTAGCAGTGAAAGAGAGTGCAAACTTTTGAGTTATCTTACCCTTCAGTTTGAGGTACTGGGCACATTTCAGGACCAAAGTGACAGCCTTGTGCCCATTCATGAGTTTGTGTGATATACAATGAGAAATAGTCTGATCAGCATAACAATCATCCACAGGTTGGCTTTGATGCACCCTAATTCAGCATCACACTCACAGATAAAGGGTAGCTACAGCAGATGAGCGGATTCTTGCTGGAAGAATAAGGTGCCTTTGGTAGAAGGATGTGCATCGAACAGGGGAGCTGAGCAGTTCTCTGGGATTTCCACCTGCAGTGGTGATGGTGAGAAAACATATCTGGAGCAGTCAAAGGACTCTCACAGGGGAAAAAAAGGGTGTCTTTGATGAAAGGAGAGCTGATGAGAATGGGGAACAGATAGATAAAGGATTCATCAACGCAATGTAATCTCAGATCAGCTACTGAACGACAAGTAGGCTCAAGGGGCTGAATGGCCTACTCCTGTTCCTATTTATTATGGTCATAGGCTTTGTTCCTCATGTGTACTGTAAATAGTTCCTTGTTTATTCTTGATTACAATGGTTTTAAGATGTTTACTTTGTCCTGGTTTTTATTTTATGAAGAAAGGTTGAGAGAGGTGCGAGCAGTCTATTCAGAGCTGCAAGAGTAAACAGTGCAAGAGGCCCTGGGATTTTTGAAAAAATAAGTGTTGGAACAATAGAAGCAGCCTGAATGGGTAGGGTCAAGCACCCACACAGCCAGGATTTTTAATTTTAGTTTTTCGGTAGCAGTTGTTGCTGGGAGGGGGGATCTTGAAGCTGGGTTTGGAAGCTGCAATACATCTCTTCCTGCTACTCTCTCTCTCTCTCAGAATTTTCTCAATGTTATTCCTCCTGGTCTGGAGAATTGCCTGTGAGACAATCTATTTTACTGAATTTTGCCTTTAGCCAAGAGTGTGTTTATGGGATATTACCATATTGGAACAGTTAATAGTAGTAGCTAATATATCTATTATTTTGTTAAGATTTTGATAGTTACAGTTAAGCCAATTCTTTTCTTTTATTTTGTCTGTATTTCAACGGTAGTGTAATAATAAAGTGTGTTTTTGCTTAATGTCAAGTAGTTCGACCAATCAAATTGCATCTGGAACACAATACCTTACACTTACCTTTAAAATAAGAAAAAGTTAGGGTCTAAACTATCTTCTGAATATATTTTTGGTCTGATCCATAACAAATGACCTGATGCAAATGAAATAAAAAATCTGTACTTCATGATCTTTGTACCCTCCACGTGTTCAAATCTCATGTTGCGTAGGAAACAGAGAATAATAATCAATGGATATATTTCGGACTGAAGGAAGGTTTGTAGTGAAGTTCTTCAGGGGTCGGTATTGGGACTTTTGCCTTTCCTGATATATGTATTAATGAATGCAGGAGACAATTTCAAAGTTTATGTATGATACAAAACTTGGAGCATTGTAAACTGTGAGGAGAATAGCAATGAACTCCAAATGGATATAGACAAATTGGTGGAGCGAGCAGATAGGTAGCAGATGATGTTCAATGCAGAGAAGTGCGAGGTAATGCATTTTGGTAGGACACGGACAGACAATAGAAAATAGCAATAGCAAGAGCTGAGAATCTGGATATATATGTGCATACATCTCTGAAAGTGTCAGGACAGGTTGACAGAACAGTTAAAGCATTCAGTATCCTGGGCTTTATAAAATGGAATAATACAGTCCGAGAAAGAGGATTCTGCACTCATGTTGTTCAGCCTCAGCTGGAGTACTGTGTCCATTTCTGGGTGCCACAGTATAACAAGGATGTGAATGCACTGTAGAGTGCAGAAGGGATTTACAAAAATGGTTCCAGGAATGAGAAACTTCAGTTAGGAGGATAGATTAGAGGGGTTGGGACTGTTTCCTTTGAGAGAAGAAAGCTAAGAGATTTGATAGTAGTTTTCAAAATCTCAAGAAGTCTGGACAGAGTAGATAGGAAGAAACTATTCCGGCTGGTAAAAGGACAGAGTACAAGATACCAAAGATTTAAAGTGATTTGCAAACTACATAATGTGATGTGAGAGAAAACTTTTTCACCCAAGTGATTCGGGTCTGGAGTGTGTTACCTGGAAGGGTGGCAGAGGCAGAGTCAATTGAGGCTATCGAGAGGGCATTAGATGATCATTTTGAATAGAAACAATATGCAAGGGTATGGGGAAAAGGCAGATGAATGGCACTAAGTCATAATGCTTGTTGGAGAGTCAGTGCAGACTTGATGGGCTGAATGGCCTCCTTCTGCATCATAACAATTCTGTGATTCTGCTGCAGTGCAGCCATGTAGCATAGAGGAAACATTGGTCATTGACTTAAAACATTTAATTCTGTTCTTTCCTCCAAAGACTTATTTAGTATAACAGAATTTTCTGTTTACATTTCATATTTCCAGCATCCTCAGTAGCTCTTCTTTATAATTATAGTGAAATGTGAGAGCGAGAGAGAGAGAGAGAGAGAGAGACACTCGACTGGTGGTGGTTTAACCTGAGGGTCACCATGCCTCAAGTGAGGGTTAAAGATGAAAAGGCAGGACCTTCATGATGACCTCAGCCAACGCAGGAATTGAACTCTGCATTGTGAACCAGCTGTCCAGATATAAGTGTAAAAGAAATATCAATATAAACATAAAGATTTTACATAATCCACCAAGAGACAAATGGTTACATCAATATACAAGCAAATCATCAATAATGTTGTTCATGATTAGGTCAGATAGAGTCATAGAGTCATGCAGCATGGAAACAGACCCTTCGATCCAACTCATCCACACCAACCGTGAGAGTGGCTAATGTTTTGCCTTTAATTAAGAAGAAGCCTGGGAATTATAGATCGGAGAGTCTGACATCGGTGGTGGGTAAGTTGTTGGAAGTGTTTTTGAAAGATACAATTTACATGTATTTGGAGAGGCAAGGAATGATTAGGGATAGTCAGCATGGTTTTATGCGAGGGAAATAGTGTGTCAAAAACTTGACTGAGCTTTTTGAGGAAATAACCAAAAAGATTGATGAGGGCAGAGCAGTAGATGTTGTTTACTTGGACTTTAAAAAGCCCTTGATAAGGTTCCGCAAGGTAGACTAATTGGTAAAGTTGGGTCACATGGGATTCAGGGTGAGTTTGCCAATTGGATTCAAAATTGGCTTTATGGTAAGAGACAGAGGGTGGTGGTGGAGGGTTGTTTTTTGAACTAGAGAATGTGACAAGCGGTATTCCACAGGGATCGATACTGGGTCCACTTCAGTTTGTCATTTAAAATAAATGATCTGGATGAGAATATAGGAGGCACAATCAATCAGTCAGTTTGCAGATACCGCCAAAATTGGTGGTGTTGTGGACAGTGAAGGAGGTTATTTAAGATTACAAAAGAGATCTTGATCAATTGGGTCAATAGGCTGAGGAGTGGCAGACAGAGTTTAATTTGGATAAATGCAAGGTAATACATTTTGGTAAAACAAAAATGGGCAGCACTTATTCAATTAATGGTAAGGCCCTGGGTAGTGTTGTAGAACAGAGAGAGACCAGGTACATAATTCTTTGAAATTTGCATCACAGGTAGGTAGAGTGGTTAAGAAGGCATTTAGCATGCTTGCCTTCATTGGTCAGACCACTGAGTATAGGACTTGAGGTTGTACAGGACGTTGGTGAGGTGTCTTCTGGGGTACTGTATACAGTTCTGGTCGCCTTGTTATAGGTGTTATTAAAACAGAGAGGGTTCAGAAAAGATTTACCAGGATGTTGCAGGGAATGGAGGGTTTGAGTTATCAACATAGGCTGGATAGCCTGGGACTTTTCTCAGCGCAGTGTAGGAAGTGGAGGGGTGACCTTAGTTAGGTTTATAAAATCGTGAGGGGCATAGATTAGGTGAATATTAAAGGTCTTTTCCCTAAGGTAGGGGAGTTCAAAACAAGGGGGCATATTTTTAAGGTGAGAGGAGAAAGGACACAAGGGGAAAATTTTTTTTATACAGAGAATGGTTAGTGTGTGGCATGAACTGCCAGAGGAAGTGGTGGATGCAAGTACAGTTATAACATTTAAGACACATTTGGATAAGTACATGAAAAGGAAAGGTTTGGAGGGATGTAGGCCAAATACAGGCAGGTAGGACTAGGTTAGTTTGGGAACATGATCAGCATGTATTAGTTGTATTAAAGGGTTTGTTTCCATGGTATGACTCTGTAACTCCCCCCACCCTTTGGAAATACTGAGGTGTCAGACCACAGACTTTGTTGGATTAGAGAGAGCCAGATTAGGGAGCTACAACCTGTGCTAGACCGAGCTCTGTTTAAATTACTGCAAGTAAACATGATGAGGTCAATCAGAGTTCAGTTGCTACTTCGTGAGGTGAGGAAAATTTGAAATTTGTAAGATAGAAAGATACAAATCAAATGCAGAAAAGCATGTATCAATTACTTTAAAATGTTTAGAAGGATCACCACACTGTATATTTTTTTAAAATCATATCCTCTTAATGCAGGTACCTTTCACATTGGGAGAATACAGCAGTCTAATAATCACATATGGCTGGTCCTCAGTTGGATCCGTGACTTTGAATATGGATGGATCAAGTAGCTCAAACTCAAATTTTTCTGATACAGAAAACATAATAAAATATCAAATATTTTTCACTTTAACTGTGAAATGAGAAAAGAAATTGTAGTAAAATCAATCATCTTTAAAATTCAAACAGTTTAAATGTTTAAATAATTAACTTATGTTTATATAGTGGTTTTATGTCTAGCTTGGAAAAATAAACAATTTGATAGAGAGAAATTATTACCTTAGATGTCGAAACAAAAGGAATAACCTGAAAATTAGCAGTAGGCTGTACAAAGGTTATATCTTCATGCAAAGGGTTCTGGAAATCTGAAACTCCTGTTCCAAAAGACTGAATGGTTGTGACCAGTTGAAAATTTCAAAACTGAAATTGATTAATTTTTGCTAGGCAGGGATATTAAGGGATAGGAGCCAAGGTGGGTGGATTGAGTTGAGCTACAGATCAACAGTAAACTAACTGAACAGCAAAACAAGCTTGAGCTGCTGAATCTTCTTCTCATGTTCCTATGTACCATTCAGAAATGTCTCAAAGCACTTCGTACACAAGAATTAGTAATGTGTTTGCTGCACAGCATCTCAATGCTTAGAGAGACAGTGAGATAAATCAGAAGATAGAGGGAGGAATTTCTTGAGTAGAGCCTTGCAAAAATCTCATAGATGTGTTAATAATATATAAGGCATCAGCTGTTAGATATTGAAGCATTCAGTAAGGAATCACTGAAAAAAATCTACGTACATACATAAGGAATCAAGGAAGGCCATTTTTCTTCCCCCTCTGTTCTTTCATGGTAAATGAGTATTATTGGAAAGATCAATATTTATTCTCCATCCCCAAATGCCCTCAAAATGACACTGGTGAGTTCCATGTTATGTTACTGATTCTAAATTCTGGAATGTCCTATCTGAAACCATTGTCCTCCACATATAGATAGCAACAGTTCTCAAGGGCAACTGAAGAGTGGCAATAAATGCTTGTCTTCTCAGTGATGCACACTTCCCAAAGAATGATTCAAAAAAAGTAATTAGAAGACAGGTAACAAACAGAAAGCATGTTTTCTTGTTACCAAAATAATGTTTACATCGAACTCCTACCATCAAACCCGAGAGCAATTTCACTCATTGTTGCCTCCTTGCGTGTTCTTTCTTCATTTCTATTCGAGAGAGTTGGTTTACAAAGAGAGGTCTTTGAGTGCAACATCAAGTTACTGTAGAATATAGAAACAGTTAACTTCACATCAAGGGGATTAAAGTCCTTCCACCACACCTAAGGAGAAACATAAACAGTGCATCAAGAAGAAACTACTACATCCAGTACTCCAGAATATTAAGGAATATGCAAGTATAAAATAAATCAAACATCATTGCATTAATTGCATAAATTGAAAGAGCCTAAAATTGCTTAGAGAGACAACAAGATAAATCAGAAGATAGAGGGAGGAATTTCTTGAGTAGACCCGTGCAAAATAGCTGCACAGATCAGAAAAATGCAGACATGCTGTTCATAATTTTCTGCCTTTTAAAATTAACAGATGGGAAATCTTGGCTGGCATATCCATCAGTTCCTAAAATGCACCTCCATTGGTTGACTCTTACACTGGTAGCACACATTCAAGAAATTAGCATTAACTTTCAGACGATATATGGAGACTACTTAAGATTCACGAGCACATTACTCAAGTTATAATTTTAGATCCTACTGCACAGTGATTATAGTTTTCACACTAACTGCAACTCATTATGACTATTAATATAGAAACATAGAATTTTCAAGTTAGAAAAAAGGACTATGTTGTGGAAGTGGCAGATGAACAAATGGCTAAATTAATCCTGTAGGTATATCCCAAATTATTGCCCAATTCCTCCTGTTCAAAGGCAGCAGACTCTCAAGTCAATTAATACAACAGGACATTGTTGTTCCTTGCTGTATGACTATATTGTGATGAATTAGTCCTTTTTCCTTTGTTCCAGTACTAAAACATATGACAGGTTTATTTGGATATGAGATTAATTACCTCTGACATGGATTTCAACAATATTAGTTTCACTGAAATATTCTTTAGTCCAATAGGAAGTATCTCACCGATACTGATTTTAAGATTTGTGTCATTGCTGATACCTAAATACAAGCAAAACAAACAGTAACTAAGGTAGTAAATATTTCTAAAGTAAAGTCAGATTCAATAAAAGCAGTGTTTAATATCACCAAAATGTAAGCCACCTGTAATAAGAGATAGCAAGCACAGGGGAACACTATAGCACATGCAGGGAAGAATTTGTCAACTTCATACCATTTCAGAGTGGTGCAACGCAGATTTCCTTAGGGACAGGCAGCCTGCAAGTCACTAGATCTGTTGCTTCTTTGATATCATAAAGGAATGTCCTGCAGTCACACAGACAGCAGCCTTCCACCTTCCAGCCTACAGGGAACTGTAGTCTGTGTAGTGGTGCAATGCAAACAAATTTTTCATTATTGATTTAGAACATTAATTCTAACACATGTTCAAGGACTAAAGCATGCCCTCTCATAATGAAGTAATAAAAGCTTGTGCTTATGATCTTGGCAATCTATTAAGTTGCTGATTTTAGCTGTTAGTGTAAGGATGTTTAACAAATCGGGTATGATTTTTTAAAAATTCTGTCATGTGATGTGGGCATTGCTTGCAAGCATAGAATTTAAAGCAAAGCACTGTAGATGCTGGGAATTTGAAATAAAATCTGAAAATACAACGAAAACTCAGCAGGTCTGGCAAAACCTTTGGAGAGAGAAATTACGTTAAGATTTCAAGTTCAAAGATGATATCAGACTTGCTGTGATTTTCTCATTTTGGGCTGGAAATTTGTTGCACATCCTTAATAATCCTTGAGAAGGATGGCAGATTCCCTTCTCTACAGTATACTAGTGAACCAGATGGATTTTTAAACACTTGTCATTTAAGCAACTAGAGTACTGAAATTCTGAAGAAACATCTGATAAAATAAATTCATGCTGATACACTGAAATTTCTCATTTTGTCTTCGGCATGGGAAACTCCCATGTAGCCCTTAATTCTGCTTCTCTATGTGCCGCTTGGCCTTGTCCCATATTTTTGGCTTAAATAAAACACTTTTACCTTGGCAAATTCACGTTTGGCCAAGTTTATGACCAAATTGGCCCTTTGTGACCAATCAACCAATTTGTACAAATGTTGTGGATATTCCTCCCAGGTTTAGCTGAACCCAACTACATCATCTATATATGCAACACAGTTGCATGGTCCTTCAAATAACTTTATTGTTGCAAAGTTGTTGGCACATTTTTGATTTCAAATGGCATGTCTTTACGTTGATAACGTCCATCCAGTCTTAGAAAAGCTGATATTTATTTGGCTGTATCAGTCAATGGAACTTGCCAAAATCCCTTTAAAAGGTGGAATCACAGAATTAGACATGAATCTGCCTTTGTTACCATATTAACTTTGTGATAATCTATACACAATTGTTGTTATCCATTTGGTTTTGGCAACATCACAACAGGCGAGCTAATGTGATTTGGTTCAAAACATCATTGTCCATTATGAACTTAATCACTTCCCTCACCTAGGCTAACTTCTCTGGTTTGTGAATGTAAATGTGTTGTTTTATGTACTATGCAGCTCCTGTATCATGTATGGCCAAAATCTTTCCACAGTCTATTTACACAAATAAATTCAGGAGTCTGTAATGGCTTTCATAAATCATCCTGATTATTTTCCAAAATATAGCATAATATTCCATCTAACTTTTCAATACCTCCATATGAGCCAATCTGTTACTGAAGAGTTGACTACAAAATTTTAAATTTTTGATTCTTTCTTGAATTGTTTGGAAAATTTAACATCATTCCCTTTTGCTTTTACTAGCGTAAACATACTTCTGCCCCAAATATTCTACCCATTAGCCTGGTCCAAGATCACCATCTGGGTCAGTACCATCTCCATGGTCTGGAGGAATGGCTAGCAATACTGCAAGGAGGTCAATGACATTCTCTGCTCCATCAAGGTAAGTGCCACACACTTCGCTCTGCTGCTTCACACTCATTATACCCACTCCTACATAGCTCATTTTCTGCCATTCTGTTGCCTGCAATATCTCCCCTCACTTGCTGTCACTCCTTGCCCAATCACTAACCCTGCATACTCAGTCCCTCTGAACAACTCTGTCCTCTACCTAAACCAGCTCTAACAGTTGTGTCACTTAGTTTTACCTCACTCAATCCTTCCACTTCTCTCAGTCAAAAGAAGACAACCCACGAGAGGGTAACAGGGATTGGATGGGTGGAAGGGTGCTCGATATTTGGCTCCTCAGCCCTTCTGAGGAGAGAATCCTGGACTTCACAGGAGAAGACCAGGGATCCCTCCTGTGGGGATGCTGAAACATATGTCCCTCACCAACTAAGTAAAGACCATTCTTCATTCCACTGCAACTCTCACAGTAACGCTGCTGTCAGTATCATTCATTGCACACCACTTTAACCATTGTCTGTGATAACTTCTCTCCCTTTTGTCTTGGGCATACTGCTGGCATTTCCACAATTTACAGAGAAATGGTCAGCTCTCCCAGAAGCCATCTCCTCAACTTCTGAGGATGAGATTACTGAGGCATTCAAAGCAGCAGCAGCAAGTCTGTCTCCTGCAAACCCAGCAGCTCAGATACGGACACCTCAGTGGGAATATCACATTGAGAAAGCTTGGGAGCACATACTGGAGAGCACCTCACAGTGAAAGCTCTACAGCTGGCTGAGAAAGAAATCTTCAAGCCACTGGCACTCTGGGGACTTTCATAGACCAGACACCTGCTCAGCCCGAAGCAGGAGAGGAGCCTGTGTTGTTAGAAATCAGGGACTTCGTCCACATGGACAAACTGAGGAAGAGGACCAGCAGGCATATAAGTGGGATGCAATGGCCCTCATTGCACAGAGGCTGCAGCAGTGCAGCAAGTCATACAACAAATTTCCAAACATTCTTTCATCATTGATGGAACATATCTGAAATGAAAACCATGTCTTCCCTCTTCTTATCATACAATGTAGAAAGACGAATGAAATTTAAAGCTATATATCATTCTTCCACTTTAGAACTCATGTTCCCAAATAATAATATATTATGAGCTTTCATCACATTGCGAAAACTAACAATTGTACCTTTCAATGACCCGTTGTTCTTTGTGAATATTCCATTCAGAGTCCTGTAGGTTAAATGTTTCAATAACTGCAATTAAAATTAACATCACTTTAAATAAAATGTCATAATAATTCTACAGATCATTAAGCACTTAGAATTTCTGAGCACCTGCAAGGCTATCATGTTTGAAGACAAATAAATATGAGGAAATTATTTAGTTAGGTAGTATACTAAGCATTCCGGTATATACAGTTAGAATTATAGTTGGGACCAGATGATGTGTTTGAAGATACATAATCACAAAAATATGCTGCCAGTTTCAGGTAGTTCCTGTATGTGCTCAGAAGGGCATGTCAAAATGGCAGCCTTCATTTGGATCACATCAATAAATCACCCAGTTTGGTCTAGGCATGTAGGCTTAAAATTGTCTGTTGAATGGCTAATGAGCTGAGTATTGGAATCAGCAGCAAGGCCCACCGGAGTCCAACACCCTGCCAACACTCACTATCCTGGTTCATCTGTGAAGAATGACCATTTGTACAAGACTGAAGAAATGAATCCTGACATATCTTGGAAGTGTCAGTGTGTCTTCCTGACCATCAGTTTTGTATGTCAATCTTTCACGAGATGGCTGGGTATGGATAGATGATGAGGGAGAGTATAGCATAATGGAGAAGCAAGAGTGAACAGCATATATTTACTGCTGAAAATCTCTGCTGCATTATCATTACTATGTACAGAGTAGTGCTTTTATTATAGATTAATTTAGAAGTACAATGTTCCAACATGCTTGACAGACACAAAGGGCCAGTGGCACCACAAACAGTTGGTTCTTTAGAGTGACACATTTAATCAGTGCTAACACTTTAAAAAAGACTTGTGTTTGCGTAGCAGTTTATCAGTTCTCAGAAATATTTTAAAATATTCTGCATACAATGAATTTGTTTGGAATACAGTGTCTACTATTCTAAAGATAAATATGGAAATAACAGAGATAACTAAAATGCTGATAACTGCATCTATTAATGTTCAGATTGAGTCTCCACCTTCTGAGTTCAAGTGGAAGATCAAATATAAAGTAAAATAGTGGACCAGTTTGGCTTGTTTCCATTTCTGTAGTTTCACTTCGTAAGCTGAGTTCCAAGTGACTTTATCAGTCTTCAGGATATTAGAATCATTTAAATACAGCAGCATCTGTTCTCCTTTTGGATCAACTGAGCATGACCTAGCCTTAAGCAAAAATATATCAGGTAGATTATCAGGAGGGGTTGTCAAAATTGGTCAGATGCATTCCTGGAAATTTCAGTACATGGCTATCTTCAATCTCATGTCTACACATTTCTGAAATGTGCCTTTAGATGGTGTGTCACCCTGTCACTCCATGCATAACAAACCAAAAATATTTTCATAGCCAATAAGAAAAAAAGAAGTGAGAAAGTAAATGAAAAAGAACACCATTTTTTGTAATGTCCCATTATTTTTCTCCCAGGTATTGTTTGCAGCAGTTTCTGGGGCATTAATCTTTAATTTGGGAAATCCTGGAAAGGTGAAAATATTAACTAGACTGACCTCTCACAAACCTATAAAGTGGGTCTCAAGTGAGTGAACGGACTCACAAGACCTTTGAAATTATAGCAATAATCCCAGTTATGTTCTCGTTTGAACAAAAACAATTACTTTGCAGAACACCTACGCTCCATTCGCAATAAACAACTGCACCTCCCAGTCGCGAACCATTTCAACTCCCCCTCCC